CAATATTGGTTTTTCGTCTTGTGTACAGTTTTTTGTATATTTTTGCACTTGCATACACAGATTTCAGCGGATTTTCTCAATCTTTTGATATTATGTACCTTAAATTAAGAAATGTTGAGAAACATTCTTTTTGCATTTTTGCACTATTTATCCACGCAGTCTTTCACAGAGTGGTGAAGCCCTCCTCATCTTTACTTCTGAATAACTCAGCCTCTCTGAGACGCTCTTTTTATACTCAATCATGTTACTGACCTGTTGCCAATTAACCTATTTAGTAGTGAGATGTTCCAACCGATGTTTTTTAGCATTACACAATTTTACCAGTTTTTTGCTGCCCCGTCCCAACTTTTTAAAAATGTGTTGCTGGCATCAAATTCAAAATGGGCATAATTTTTTCAAAAAACAATGAAATTACTTAGTTTCAACATCTGAAATCTGTCTTTGTAATATTTTTAAATAATTATATGGCTTAAATGATTGCGCATCGGTACATTCTTTTTAAATTTACATTTTGAATAGTGTCACAACTTTTTTGGAAACAGGGTTGTATATTTGTTGAGGCTTCTTTATAATTTTCTTTGACATTCCTTCTGCTTTTTGTTCCTTAGGCTGAAAAATGGCTAAGTGTGGTGACTGACTTTTGGAAATGTTTCAAGCGTAAAAATTTGCAGTAATCATATCTCATAAAGAAATTACATTTTTCATATATCAGTAAATGTATACTAAAGCATTCATTCTGCAGGTCCCAAAAACACACACCAGACCGCCCATGTGGAGATGGAGACGGATGGTGAAGATGATTATGAAAATGTAAAAGCCACTGTCCACCAGAAAGAGGATTCGGATGAGTCTGATGAGGACTATGCCAATGTAGATCGTGGTGATGGCTGAGGGAAAGTCGTTCCATTATGATTTAGAAGGTGTATTATTTAATGTTTTTATCTTGAAGCACCTTAACAGTAAAATGATTTGAAGACCATTAATCTGACTGGAGTATATTTATTTATTAAAACATTTTAAGCTAATTTTAAATGCATCAGAATACAAATAAATTGTCAACAATTTTACCAATCAAAATTATTTGATGATAATGATAACTATACGTACCTTGTGAAAATGTAAAAACAATATGTAAGAAAAACAACAGCAATATTTTTCATTAATATAAAGTACAGCTTAAACAATTTTTGCTTTGTTCCACTTTTTACAGTATAGTTCACTGTTATATATGTATGCACGCCAGCTCATTAGATGTTTATTTAATTTATTTCAGATACTTTTTTTTGACCATTTCTTTCCAGCACTGCACTGAAAAGGCTCACTGACTGACCTAGTGAAAATTAACAGTATAAACAATCATCTCATCCACATACTACATCATATATATGACATTCTGTATACAATATAATAATGCTAATATCTATCATACAAACAGTGTTGGGGTAGTAGCTGCTGCTCCTGTCCTCCACTTCCCACTGCACCTTTCCTACACTGCAAAAGCACTGAGGAGTTGAAAAAAGGGAAGAGAAAAAATTGGGGAAGCTTTCGACATCATTAAATTTAATGTTTACTGTTGATGAACTGAGCCTATCACAACATTTCTCTTAAAAGCCCGCTCACTCTATTAGACACTCCTACCTTGAAACGCACAATCTCATAAGTTTTTCAGGTCTGGCTGCCATGTTTGCAATATTTTGAGAATGAATTAAAGCCCAAAAGCCCAAAGTGACTACAGAATGATGTCCCCCCTCCCCTGACCTTTTGTTCTGTGTCAATGAGCACTGGTTATGTTCTTTTTTCTGTTCTTTTATACTGTGTGGAAAAGCAATAAAAATATTGTGTAAAAATAGGTGGAAGCCCCTCCCGCTACTCAGGCACACCAGATGAGCTTGACTGGCCTAAAACACTACAGCATAGTGTTTTACATTTTGGCCCATAGCGTCTACATCATAAGGCTTAGAGATATAATATTCTGCTGTTGATTTCTTGGTTCATACTAAACAACATTTCATCAAAAACTCAAATCCACACCACCAGAAAAATGTAGATATTTTGCAAAATTTTTGCATAGCCTACTTTTTAAAACTTGTTCTGGGTTTTTCATCCAAACCTCACAAAACTGGTGTCAAATTATCTGTAATAGCCTGAACCTGAATTAGGATTTTAAAAAAATACTTTTGTAAACACCATGGTTGCCACGTGCCAATCAATCCTTCTGGATTAGAGAATTGTTCATTGAAACGTAAGTGTAACTCATGAAGGCTTTGTCTGATTTTAATGATACTTAATAGGCTTGTGCATCAAAAGATTCTGATGTGGCCTGTCAATTTTGGCCCTTGCATGTCAATAGGTGGTGCTATAAAAGCTAAGTAGCTCTTTCTCAGCATCTTTACATCTGATTAAGCTGAGATTTTGCACGCTGCAGCTTTGTGCTTATTCTGAGTGGGTTTTTAAAGTCCTGATAACTGGAAAACTGTGGCAGCCATAAGTAATCAGTTTACAGTTTACAGACTTAACACTGACCAATAATCATGAAACTTAAATGGTGTTTGCATGTAGGAACTCTCAATTAACCTATACAATTTCAAAGTATTGGTCACTGGGGGGCGCTACTCACTTTTCCAACAATCAAATCAAGCATACCTCATGCAGCATTTCACCTGAGGACACGAAACTGGAATAATAATTCACTTTAGTGAGCATAAATTGTTGATGTTGTGAATGTTTTCATAAAATGTATTGTGTTGCAGCCCATTTAAAATTAATCTCAGGATTTTTAATCAATCATTCCAAAGTTGGTCTTGAAATAATCTCTGTCATCTGTAAATAAATAATTATCAAAAAATCTTAACTTTTTGCCCACCATAGTTGCCAAATATTAATTAATCATTGTGGTCTTGGCAATTCTGAATTAAATTGATAAACCTTGAAAATTGTTAGTCTTATCCTCTCAAAATTTAAGAATTGAGATTTAGATGAGGCTTGCAAAATCTTGCCCAGATTGGCATTCAGGGGCCTCTGCAGTGCACGTTGAGACTTTAAATAACTAGAAATTCAATTGCTATTATTTTTGTCTTGCTACAAATAATAATAAAAAAAAACAGGTCTAATGTAATTCAGTTTTTTAGTTTAACAATTTGGCAATTTGAAGTTATGTCAGAAATTTGTTCCAAGTCTCCATCTTAGTATGTCAAAAGGTCAATGTAAAACTTGATCAATAATCATAACAGGATTTTTGATAAAGTCTCCCTGTCATTTATCCTGCGAAAAGGCCCCAATCTGACACATTAAACCTCATAAAGCTGATTTGTGCTGAGATCCCATGGATTGCTGCTTGCAGCTATTGTTTTTAATTATATTCTATAATGACGATGATATAAAGACACAGGGAAAAAAAAACACTTTTTTTCATCTTTCAACAACAAAAATGCGTTAATTAACAAGTTACTGTTTGCCCATCTTTAATCTTGTGGACTTTGCACTCCGCATTACGTTCATCAGTCTTCACACATGCCGCATCGCGTGTTCTCCATTCGACTGCGTACACTGAACCATAACGTCTGTGCCATGATAGTGTCAGACGAATACACATACTAGATAGATGATCCTGAAGGGAAATTGCAGAACTGTTACACCCCTATAATCGACTGTATAATAGAGACAGGTACAGCAGATGGAGATCAGGTTGGAGTAAAGTTGGAGCCTTCCGTTAGTTATGGATGAAACTCTCTGAAGCTCTATTTGAGTTTCAGATGAAACTCTCACTCTAGCAGGCAGAATGTTGGCATTCGCATTATTTGAATCAGGATTTAATAGTCACTTTTGCTGTACACTGATAGAATTGACCACTGCTTCTGTTCTTGGTGTAAACAGGCCATGTAGACTGCACATATACAACCACATGTCCGTATTCTTTGTGTGCAATGTCTCTGTTATCACACCGTGTGATTGCGCATTACAGTTTCTCCGCATAGAGTTAATAGAAAGTATCCAGCCACATTGAGAGTACGGATGAATAGAATTGAACACTTTACCTTTATCATGGGATTATTTTTTTATTTATGTGTACAGTATATATTCAAAATTATGTGGACATCTATACATTGCACCCATATGAGCCTGTTGGACATGCCATTCCAAAACCATCGGCATTTATATTGAGTTGGCCCCCTTTGGCTCACAATCTACATTCTAGTTCATCCCAAAGGTGTTAGTGGGGTTGGGGTCAGGGCTCTGTGCAGGCCACTGGAGCTCCTCTACACCAAACTCCCCAAACTATGTCTTTATTTAGCTCGCTTTGTGCACAGGGGCTCAGTCATGCTGGAACAGGAAAGGGTCTTCAACAAACTGCTGACACAAAGCTGGAAGCATACAATTGTCTAAAATGTCTTTTATGCTGTAGCATTAACATCACCCTTCACTGGAGCCCATTATCCCTTCTCCACCAAACTTTAATGTTGGCACTATGCATTCCAGTAGGGAGCATTCTCCTGGCACCCAGATTCATTCATCATATTTGACTTCCAGATAGTGAAGTGTGATTCATCACTCCAGAGAACACGTTTCCACTGCTCCAGAGACCAACGCTTTACACCAATCCTCCCAATGCTTAGCATTATGCATTTTGATATTAGACTTGTGTGCAGCTGCTCAGCCATGGAAACCCATTTCATAAAGCTCCCAATGCACAATAATTGTGCTGATGTTGCTTCAATGAGGCCTAATGAGACGACGGATGGTGTCCTGGGGGATCTCCTCCCAGATCTGGACCAGGGCATCACTGAGCTCCTGGACAGTCTGAAGTGCAACCAGGCGGCGTCGGATGGACTGAAACATAATGTCCCAGAGGTGTTCTACTGGATTTAGGTCAGGCGAGCAGGGGGGCCAGTCAATGGTATCAATTCCTTCATCCTCCAAGTCCAAGGATTTCATCCCGATGCCTAATAGCAGTCAGGGTGCCGTTGTCTAGCCTGTAGAGGTCTGTGCATCCTTCCAGGGATATGCCTCCCCAGACCATGACTGACCCACCACCAAACCGGTAATGCTCAATGATGTTGCAGGCGGCGTAAGGTTCTCCATATATATATATATATATATATATATATATACACACACACATAGGGCCCTCGGGTGGCCTCAGAACACTGACTCAAAGTCTAGAGACAGTCCACTGCCGAGGCAATAAAGAGCTTAATTAAAAGCCCTTATATGTAATGCCCACACTCTGCCACTGTATTTAAAACCAGAAAAAAAACCCTAACACTAAAATGTACAGAAATATAACTATAGGAAATAGGCTATAGCACATTATTTATCAAATAATCATTTTGGTCACATTATATATATTTTCCAGCACTGTTCAAAGCACGCATAAGCATATATGAGCAGACTGAAATTTAAATGAGCTCTGTTCTGATTGCCTGCCCCATATTATGCCTCATTCAAAAATGCTCTTTTTAATTTCAGTTCTCAGGGGATATGTGAAAATGCACTGTTTTTTGTGACACAACTGAAACAATAAATTCAAAACAGGCAACTCTGACAGTGTTTACATATTGCATCAATCTTTTTATCCAAAAAAAGTGAGGAAATCCATGATATGGACCCTTTGAATACATTTTACAGAGGTTTTTTCCCCATTACTTCATCAGAGTGTGGGGGGGAGGGGTGCCTTTAGCACACTTGATCTGTCCCTGGTGCTAGGAAGAGGAGGGTGGGCCTGAAGCCATAGTAAAAGTGGTTTGGCCACAGCTGGATTGTGGAAAAAAGGAAACTGTCGAGGGTTGTTGTGGAAGCTAGAGAAGACCAAAAGCCAAACAGAAACTCACCCCTCTGCTGCCTCTGAGAGTGTGAGTTTAGAGTGTGGTTACTGTGGTCTCCTGCACTGTTTCTGAGAAATGGACACACTTGGACACTCACCAGGAAGTGCACAGAAATACACAAAACCGCATGCGTGGGAGAGCTTGTGAAACACCAACCACACTTCAAGGTAAAGCTGTTTGAGGACAGAGACAGTGCCCACTTTAGCCAACCATAAATCAAACTGAACAAGGACTTTAACAAGGCTCTCAGGACCAGGATGGAGAGACCTTGCCTCATTTTCATGCTTGGTAAAGTCAAGTTTAATGTTTTTTGTTCTGATAACAAAGTTGGCAATAATAAATTATTTCCACATTGTAAAAAAAATGTTGTTTTAACTTAAAAAAAACATAATAACCAGGCTGCCTTTCAATGGTGCCTTTGTTCACACTATAGTTAAGTTATAAATTTGTATGATGTTCATTACATTACAAATAATCTACTTCAAAAAAGATTGTCTGTGTATTCTGATATTTTGTATTGTTTGTTATTGGTACCATTACACTTCACCACACTTAAGCTACGTTCACATTACAAGCCTCATTGCTCAAATCCGATTTTTTGCTTAAATCCGATCTCTCCAACAGGATGGTTCGTTTAGGTAAGTTATTCAAATCTGCCATTAATGTGAACGGACCGGCATCCTGAAATGACCCTCATGCGCACATCCTACTCAGTAACGTTGTGTGAATGAATCACGTGCATCATCAGCACAAACTAACGAGTAGAACGAGCTTCACTGTGAAGATAATTAACTCTGATTAGCTCTCAGCTTCATTATTAGAGCGAGACGAAGGAGAAAAAGGTGAGATGAGCTGCTTTTCCACCGTTTACAGGTTTTAACTTCTGTTCGGCGCTGCTACCATGGTAACGCTGAATGATGCCGCACGCGCAGTGGAAAAAAGCACATGATTTCCGATCTGAGCATCACATTAAGGTCACATGGCCACGAATCGGATACGTATCCAGTCTAGGACCACATATGAAAGTGGCTCAGGTCGGATTTGAAAAGATCAGGGCAAAAAATCAGATTTGTGCCACTTCAACCTGGTGATGTGAACATAGACTTAGTTACAGTGGAAATGCTAATCAAAACAGAAAGCAGTGATGAGGAAATTCTGTTTGACCTGTATTAAATTGGAAACACAAATACATCATTTCATGCTTTACCTTATGAACTTTATTGTCTTTAAAAAATAAGTAAATAAAAATACTCATTCCAAAATTGATGTCTGCAACACATTCTGAAAAAATTGGGACGGAAACTTTTTACCACAACACAACCTTTACTTATAACAGCACTTAATAATTGCTTAGAGACTGAGGACACAAACTGACTCAGTCTTGAAGGCAGAAGTTTTTGTCATTCTTTCAAGTGTTCAGCTGGGCAACTGGATGTGTTCAATGGGAGATAGGCAGGTCATTTTCAGCACCTGCACTCTCTGATTATGCAGCCAAGCTGCTGCAACACAAGCAGACCGTCAGTACCCCTTCTGTCACTGGGGTGGGACCCTCAAGGGTTTATCTCAGTACCTTTAGTCAGGGAACATAACTGAACCATAATCCACTGAAATGATATGTTCTAAGCTGTACTGACTCCACACACCCCGTCTCGTCTCCAGGACTTTATTTTACTGTTCTGTTTAAAACATTCGGTTATGAAAAGGTACAAATACGAACTTTTCACCTGGAAAAACTTATTTAAGGTTCACAATCAGACCTTAAAACCACTGTTGTACCTTTGAGGGAACATTTACATTGTTTATACCTTGATGAAGGAAAATTGTACCTGTACAGCACCTATTTTCTCACAGTGTTGACAGCAGTTTGTATGATCTGATCATAATTTTCATAGATTTCTGCAGTTATCTGATTATTCAAATGGTCATGTAAACAGCACACTCGGATGTCTTCGATCAGAGTAAGATCTAGAAATCTGATTAAGAAATCTGATAAAGAGGCTGGATTTTAGCTCAGTAGTCAGATTTCTCAGTGCTGTAAACTCTTACTCTGATTTCTTTCGGATTTCTCAGTCTGCACATGTGTGTAAACAGACTGTACCAGAAATAAGCGAGAAGCGTCGCCGCGAGACGCAGCAAAACACTTTTGGAGCAACACTGAAACCAAATACATGCTTGGCGAAATGAAGCATTTAAATATTCTTCATCTTCTACATGATGTGTGTTCATATTTTAGGTAAAGTGGCGCGATGTTTAAAAAAAGCCACAGTATGAAGTTTGAGTCTTACGTTACGTTTACGTCACGTCTTCTTCTGTGAGTTTATTGGCTGGTTGTAAAGCAGAAATCTGATTACTGTCTGACTCATGTAGACCCAGAGTTTCCCCATTATCTGATTACTCAAGTGCATGTAAATGCTCATTCACATTACCTCTAACTCCATCTGATTAAAGAAAGTTCTGATAGTCTGTGTAAAAATGAATATTGCACTGATCTACAGTGATGACACCTTAAAAACATTAGTGTCTCACTGAAAAGCTAAAGTTTACATTATTGATTTAACAAAAAAAACCTTCTTTGTTTCAGTAGCCGGTGTTCATAGTGCTTCCTTGTTGGCTGGTAAGTTTCCTTTTCAGTGAATAACAGTGGATTTGATATCAATATGAACTGACTGAAAGATTACTGAATGTAATGTGTCTATTCATGTAAAACATTATATAATATTGATAATACAGGCATTCAGGACTAACAGAAAACAAGATTTCTCTCCTTTAGTTACAGATGGTTTAAATATAAGACTCATCAACGATAAAGGTACCTGTTCTGGTAGAGTGGAGGTCTATCATAATGGCCAGTGGGGAACAGTGTGTGATAATATCTGGGACATCAGTGATGCGGCGGTGGTGTGCAGACAGATGGGATGTGGCAGAGCGGTCAGCGCCCCTCACAGTGCCTACTTTGGTCAGGGAAGTGGCCAAATACTTCTGGATGATGTTGCTTGTTCTGGAAGTGAGAGCTCCATCACAGCATGCAGTCATAATGGATTTGGCAGTCATGACTGCAATCATGCTGAAGATGCTGGTGTTATCTGCTCAGGTAAGAAAGACTCAATGTTCATTTCAAAACACCAGAGCTGGCTCAAATAATTTGTTCTTTATACTGCCGTTTGTTTTCTTATTTAATATTCAGAAGCTTTTATTAACATTTCAGACCCCAACAGAAGTCTACAGCACTCTTCTGGGTTTGTGACAGAGTTAGAATCTTATGTATCACTGATTTAACCAAAATATTTGATCATAAAACCAGAAGAAAATGGCAATTACTTAAAAATGGACACGATAGTCTATAAAATTGTCATACCAAGTTAACCCTAGATAAAGGCCAAACACAGCCACTCTCTTCCTTTCATTTTCAGCGCCCCTCACAGTGCCCACTTTGGTCAAGGAAGTGGATTTGGAGTGCATAACTGTGGACATGGAGAAGACACAGGAGTTGTGTGCTCAAGTAAGTAATAGTATTTATAGCAGTTTACTGTTTAAATGCATTTACAAAATTACTGATTATATTCCTTTAATAGATGTTCTACAGAGTCCCTCACTCACCCTGACCTCATCTCACGCTGTATCTGCTGGAGAGGCTGTTCAGTTCAGATGTGTCTCACCAAACCCAACATGCATCTCTACAGACTTCCGTTTGTACAGAAATGAGGAATCAATAAAATCCCAATCAGCTGAATCTTCAGCAACATTTGATTTGACTGTGGATTCATCATATCAGGGTCAGTACAGCTGTGACTATTCATACCAGGGAAGCGGCTCCAGCACATCCACCAGAAGCAGCTCTATTGATATCACTGTGGGTGAGTGAACAGATAACAAGTTCATAACAAGTTCATTTTATAACAGTAGTACATTGATACAAATTCTCTTCTAGTTGAATGTAAAAGTATTCCAGGCTGTTATTTTGAAGGTTACTATAACATTGGCTGCACAGGGTTACACCAGTATAGTAAAAGTTCTAAAGTTGGTACCAGAACTCAGAATTATTGATCTCTTTAAAAAATAAACCCCATAAATAATCAATCCTTTAAATAATCAAATCTGTAATATATTTGGTGACATAGATTCTGTGGTCAGAGTGGAGTCAGGCAGAGCTGAAATCCATAAAGCAAAACCCAGAAAGCAAAGCAGAGCAAAGGACATGGCTCAGAATCAGAAACTTCTGAGTAAGACCATTAAGGCTAAACCATGACATATATCACTGCTGTCGGAAGAAAACCTTGTATCTCTATTTTTGACGTTATTTTGACATCAATGTTTCACATAATTTGAAAATACCTGTTGCCCTTTAAATTGGACTGTTGGTCATGAAAATTACAAACAAAAGAAATGGCCCAAAATTACTTGGAAAAAGTTTAGTTGCATTGACTTACATTAAAAGTAAAGTAGGTTTATTCCTTCTCCCGTAAAGTTATCATTTTGGAGATATGCGGTTTTGTTCCGATAGCAGTGATATGTGGGTGACCAAATGAGTCCAGGAATGAGCCACAGGTGTGTGTGGTTATGAGTGGGCAGAGCTGGAGGAGTGAGCCAATACAAAATAGGGGAGTCTACATACTGACTTCTTGGAGAAGGAGCCAGGGAGGAGATGGAGCTGGAGTGAACAAGCCAAAGCAGAACAATGGAGTCCATGGACTTGTTCAGACCGTCAGCCCAAATCAGATTTTTGACATATCCAAATTGCATCCAGACTGTTTTTTGATAGTCTGGACAGCAATAAAACACATGAAATCCAGTTTTGGTAAACTGGATCTAAATCACATTTGTAGGGGTTTTGAAATGCAATTCCAATTAGGTTTTTTACAGATGTCTCTCAGTCTGAGCGCTCTGACCCTTCAAATCAGATTTCAAAGTGTCTTTTGCCACTTGCAACACAGTAAACAATGACAAATGTCAAATCCAGAATGATGGACAGGCTGGTGACGTCTGGACACACAAATCCCATCTGATCTTTTGCAAGTAACGTTCCTGTATTATGGGATGGCAGGGAGGTGGACCCAGAGGAGTTGAGGTGGCTCAGAGCCAGGCTTGAACCGCCAATGTTGATGTTGTGCTAAAGTGATTTTTTTACAATATTTTGACAAATTTCCATTTCCAGTAACTCTCCGACGCTCCAAGCATCTCTCTCTGTCCCACCAAAGAGGTCACATGGGGAGAGAAGGTTAACATCACCTGCTCTGTAGAAACCCAGTTCACAGGAGGATCCTTCACTCTGATACAGAACTCTGGGTCATTTAGAGAGACCAAGAGTGGAACCTCCGTCACCTTCAGTTTACCAAAAGTGGACTTTGTTCATGAGGGGTCTTACTACTGCCATTAACAGACCAGAGTGTCCAGTCATGATTTCAGTTCTCCACAGAGCAGCTCTGTTCAGTTCTCTGTTGTAGGTAAGATGCATCTTATTTGGAGTTTTGTAGTCAAGTCTAGGCTGTGGGTCTTCAACTCTCTATACAAGTTCTTCTTGTTTTCCAGTGAACTTGCTGCAGCCAAATATCTCCTTTAGTGCTCTTGATGGAGGTTTCCACTGGGGGTCGCAGGGGCCAGAGGTGACCAGGGGCCACAGCTTCTCTATCTTCTGCTCCACCAAACCACAGTACCCAGGAGGCTCCTTTCACTTGGAATTCAGTGGATCCAACACCACCAGAACTCAGTCAGCTATTAACCACTCAACCACCTTCTTCTTTCCTGAGGCAGATTTTGTCCACCAGGGAAACTACAGCTGTGTTTATGAAGTAACTGTGTCTTCACGCACCTTTAACTCTCCTACCACTGAACTCTTGGTTGTCACTATGAAAGGTGCAGTAAGATGCACCAGTCTTTGTTTGTTCATTGATTCTCTTGAAGAAATGGTTTGGCAAAAAGTCAAATTTAGCGAGGTCCCTAAACTTACATCAGATGTAGTCATACAATTTTTGCTTCTTTGGTTTAGCACCGGAGCTACGAAGCTAACAAACACAAGAAATTAGTAAATTTATCTCCAAATTTTCTTTCCACTCACATAAACCACATTTGAAAAATGTTTGAATGGAAACACAGTTAGTCATACTGTATCCTAAACCAAACTGCCAGTGTTAACTTAATGATGACCTGGATGCAGTTTCAGCAGGTGTAGATGGATTCATGGGTTTATTTACAAATGACTATTGCCTTCTAGTGTTTGTTAGCAATGATAGAATCGTAACTGTTTCTACACACACACACACACACACACACACACCCACACACCCACACATTTTCTAAGCCGCTTATCCTTCTGGGTCATGGAGGGAGCTGGAGCCTATCCCAGCAGTCATTGGGTGGAAGGCAGGATACACCCTGGACAGGTCTCCAGTCCATTGCAGGGCAGACAGATACATTCACACACACACACTCACACCTAGGGGCAATTTAGCGTGTCCAATTGGCCTGACCGCATGTCTTTGGACTGTGGAAGGTTGCCTGGCCAGGAATCGAGCACAGGCTCTTCTTGCTGTGAGGTGATGTGGCTCTAAACTAAAGAAACAAAATCTGGACTCCAGATTGGCTGATCAACTACATCTGGGGAAAGTGGAAAATTGTGTAAATTTGATTTAAATCTGAAGCACTGCTGGTCTTGATGGTGATTTCTCTCACAGCATCGCTGGCTCCCTTCATCAGTTCTGGAGTGGCAGCAGGACTCATATTACTCATATTAGTGCCAATCATTATTTACTCCACAAAGAGAGGTAAACAACAAAACTATCAGCTGACTGTGAAGACAGATTATAGACATAGTGAGTACTTTCGTATCTATATGTATTCATTTAAAAGTACTTTAAAATTAAACAGCTTTTTTATTGTTTTTTTTTTGTTCTTCAGTTTCAGTAATGCATAGTGGCTGATTTACTCTCTGTGATCTGCATGAAATGATGAAGTGTATCTTGACTTTTGGAGAGATCAGTCGTGATTAAAAATCACACATGCTAATTAAATGCTTTCTTTACTTTTTGACATCAAAAGTTGTTTGTAAAACTTTTCATTAACACAGTAACATTGACTCAACCTCATTCTGTAGGTGTGGATGAAGCATATGGGATCTATACCGTGACAAATGATGACAAAGAAGATATTTACCTAATGTAGATGGTAAAACCCAGAAATGATAGATAACTGTATTTATTCAGATTGTTACACAAAATAGATCTATTGTCAACTTTAGAGAGAGACAACAGGGAGGTTATTAGCTTAATTGCTCATTTAATGTTCAGCTTTTCTATTATCTGCAGTTCATTTCTCTTTCCTGAGCATTTCAGCAACTTCTTACTTTAGCCATTCTGTCCTCTGAAGAGAGCGATTATTCACTGTTTATTCAAAAGAATCTCTACAAATTCATTAAATAAAATAGACAATGAGCGTAGAAACAAGGAGGTGCTCATAATGTTATGCCGGATCGGTGTATATGGCAATAATGGGTATTTTGGAGCTTAATTTTAAATCTTCTATACAGTGTAAGATATGCTCTATGCATAACCTTGGAATGAATAAATTGATGTTCTAGATTTTTTGATGTTCTGCAATAAACAAATAGTTCCCCATTCCGGAGTGTAATTTAAAACAGCAAGCTCCCTGTTCTATAATGCAGTAACAGAAAGAGGTTTCGTAGTAGCTCCAGTCAAGTTACGATAGATCCTAGCTACACATCCTTTGGAGGGAATATATGGTTGGATTAAATCCACCATAGGATGGCCAGCTATAGGAAAGCACCATGGAACGCCATAGGCTTTAAGCACTGATCTTAATTGCAAGTACACAAAATGAGTAGAAGCTGGCAGAGAGAATGTAATCTTTAAGGTCTGAAAAGAACGAAAACCTCCATCATCATAAAGATCACCACAAACATTAACACCCCTAGAAGACCAAGAGGGTTGAATATAAGGTTGTGTACCTCTTAAGAGGTTGTAATTATGCCATAATGGGGTAGAGTGACAGATTTTGAAAGGGTCTCCTATGAGTCTTTCTATATGGGTCAAAAGTATACTTTTGTGTACTAAAAGGTGGGCCAATTTAGTCCCAAGTAGTATTGAAATTGTACACTTACAGGTATACTACTGGTACATTGATATTAGTATACTTACTACATAAAGCATACTTGGGAAATATACTTGAACTTTACTTAAGTTAACTTCCAATTCCTTTGTAGGGGCAAAAAGAGAGGTGAGGCAGCTCCTGGGCCTGGCTTGCTATTATTATAGGTTTGTGCCTAATATAGTTCACATTATAGCTGCAGTACAAAATAAAACTTAGATGTAAACTAGTTGTGAACTCAAAGTCTACTACTCTTACATCTAAAGTACATATCAAAGTATTCTTTTACATGTTAAAAGTGGGCCAATCTAGTCCCAAGAAGCATTGAAATAGTACACTTACAAATTAAGATTAGATTAAGTGACCTTTATTAATCCCACGATGGGGAAATTTCACTTCTGCATTTTACCCATATGCGCAGTGAGACACCACATAGTGAGTGCACACTACGGGGCAGTGAGCACACTTGCCCGGAGCGGTGGGCAGCCCTATCCACAGCGCCCTGGGAGCAGTTGGGGGGTTCGGTGCCTCACTCAAGGGCACTTCAGTCACATACTGTCGGCTCAGGGTAACGAACCGGTGACCTTCCGGTCACAAGGCTGGCTCCCTAATCTCCAGCCCCTAACTGCCCCAAACAAGGATCACCTCACATGGGACTATATACTACTACTAGTGTCTGATTTGTGTTTTTGGTCTCGGACAGGGGGCTGGGGTCCATTTTGTCCCAGGAGGGGGAAGGGGGCCCAGTGCTGTACATTAGATGAAAGCTGTCTATGCAGCACACACAGTGCAGCACCATACAGAAGTAGTACTTATCCATCAAGTTGGTGGTTCTAGTTGCTGAGATGCCCTTTCACCCTCAGTGTGGGCCAGTATCTTTTTTCAGTAGCTGTCAAAGGCAGTGAGAGAGTCCCTATACACAAAGCCAGAGACCAGAGGAAAAGACCAGGACTGAATACCTGAACTTAAAAGAGTTTTCTTGCACATTTAACAGCTGAAAAGCTGAGCTCTACATTTACTCACCTGTGTGTCTTTTCTACAATCACAGTCCTACTGGGTTCTAGAGGGTTCTAGAGGGTTCTACAGTTCTGCACTTAGAGCTGTGAGCAAATGAGCTATTGCTGTGGAGTATTTCACCCCAATGCTTAGAAAAAAGTGGTTTTCACTTGAGGATTGTGCAACTGAGGAAAAGTGTCACTTGATACTTGGCTTTTTAAAAACGGTATTAAAAAAAGGAACAAAAACTGCACATTTTGCCTCTTGTTTCGGCAAAACAGTTGTCAGCACCTCCATAATAAAGTTATTTAAAGACTGCAGCTGTGCAGCATTTATAATAAAAATGAACAAACACCCACGAGCAGGATGATGAGACTGTAATCCCATTTACACCTGCTCACTTTATGTGACTAGTATCTATATTGTATCCTGATTAGATTTTAGCCTCATTCTTTTACACCTGGTAGTAAATTTGTGTCTCCGGTTAGACCAACTACATCTGACTGCTGTGTGTGATGGAATATGCAGATTCGCTCATTACGCTGCAACCAGTTACCAAGTGTTTATTTGTTTAGCCTCCTTATCTGCAGTTTGTTTTGCACAGCAATGTCGCTATTAAGCATTTCATTACGTCTGGTCCCCAACCATGTGCGTCCACTGTGATTTTCTTCGACGTACACATGGATCACGTGCCCAGTGATGTACTGCATGGGGTGGAGTTTCGGTTGTACTGGGAGGAGTTTCAGTTGTCCAATGTGTCATGGAGAAACGGATGCGTTTACATTTCTGGAACATGTGGCTCAATTGCATCTCAGTCCACCTCCTGAAGTGGTTTGATCAGATTTGTATCTGTTTTAAATGTGTCTTGGGTGCGTTTACACGTGCATTTTTATGTGGCCTCATCCAGATATAATCCTGATACTCAAGACACATGAAGTGACCAGGTGTAAACGGGGTGTATGTCACATTACAATGCTTGGCAAATCTTCATTAATTAATTGATATTGATAGCTTTAACCTAGGCCTTGTTTAGACTGCCAGGCTGGACCAGGGCGCGTTGGCTTGACCTGTACAGATATAAGATTATTTTGGAATATCACCCTCAACATTTTTAAATTAACATGTAAAATCTGAAGTTAATACTTTTTTTACATGTCAACTGCTCTTTTTCTTTCTCAAGCCATGTGTTTGTTTGGGCTCGCACTGTCTCTCTCGCGCTCTCTCCCTATCTCTCCACTTTCCCTTGCCTCTCTCTCCACTTTCTCTCTCAACCAAACAGCACTCAATAGCAGTAAAGCTCACCAATCAGCACTCAGAACCCAGTCAACACGGTGGACTCGAACCTGCTCTGTCTTAGATTTGGGGTCTCAGTATTCACTCTGACTCCTATGACCCCACTGCAGGCCAAATGTGGCTAAAGGTGTTTGAAGAGAAAAAGGACCTCAACAGAAGTGAGAAGTTTGGTTTATGTTTTTGTTCATTAATGTATAAATGAAAAGCTTCATGTTGCACCCATGCTGGTTTGTCTGTGTGTGTTTCTGGCCTCTATGGGCTCTCGGCCAGAGTGACTTGGCTCCTTCCCAGGCTGCCACCTCAGAATATAACTAGTAAACTAAAAGTACGCATATAAACTTACATTTAGTGTAATTCACAGTGTAAACAAAATAAAACTTGTAAAATAGTTGTGTGATCAAGGTTTACTATTCTTACACCCAAAATATACCTGAAAGTATACTTTTATATACTAAAAAATGGGCCGATTTAGAAGAAGTATTGAAATAGCACACTTACAAGTATACTACTAGTACATTGATATTAGTATACTTACTATATAAAGTACGCTTGGGAAATATACTTGAACTTTACATGAGTTTACTTAATAAAAGGAATTTTAAGTACATTTCTTTTGTAAGGTCAGAAAGTGAGACAGCTCTTGGGGCTGGCTTGCTATTATTGTAGGTTTGTGCCTATTCGGATGTCCCCAGCCCACTGATAAAAGGGAGCACCAGATGTGGTCCAGTGAAGGGAGCAGTGCCATTAGGCTTTTATCACATTAAGGCAGTTTTCTGTTGGAGCCCACTGATGCATCCACCTTACTTTCTTCTCCCTTTTGTCATGCAGACAGATGTGTCGGACAGGGGACTGGGGTCTGTTTTGTCCCAGGCGGGGGAAGAGGGCCTAGTGCTGTACATTAGATGAAAGCTGTCTATGCAGCACACACAGTACAGCACCATAGATAAGTCATGCTAATCCATCAAGTGGGTGGTTCTACTTGCTGGGGTGCCCTTTCACCCTCAGTTTGGACCAGTATTTTTTCAGTAGGCTGTCAAAGACAGTGAGAGAAAGACTTCCTGTACACCTGTACACAAAGCCAGTGACCAGAGGAAAAGACCAGGACTGAATACCTGAACCTAAATAAGTTGCACATTTAACAGCT